TTATGGTTTGTTCTTCTTGGGAACCATTATTTTCTTCACGGTGGAATATTTTGGTTCTTCTTCAACAGGTGTCAGTTCTATTTCTTCTTCTGATGAATTCAATCCAGTTTCTTCCTTGTTGATATTTGACCTGTTTGGGTAAAAATCACTGACCAGAATCTCTTTCTCAGGTTGCTGAATGCTTGCCAAAACATCATTAACCGATATCTTTCTAGAATTTCTAAGTTTCCATAGTGCTGCTGCTATTGCAGCAATGATTAACATGGTACCCATCACAGTCAACCAATTTATTACTATCATCTTACTATCTGTCCAAACCATACTTCCTCTTCCCAAAACATTTAACCTGCCCTTTAACTGATTCATATTAATCGCTTTTATTTCCTTGCTTCTTCTGCTGTCAGCATCATAAATTTTGTCTTAGTTGAATTCAAAGCTACATACTCTGCCTCAATTCGATATCTCGCCACTACCTCCTTCTCTTTAGTTTCCTCTCTTCAACCTTTCCTTCTTTTAATCAGCCTTCAGCAGGCTGATTGGTGTGAGGCGCTTTCGTCCCAAAAGTTGTCGATACTACCGCTGGCCAGCCAACCAGCAGCATTCACAAGTAACGCGAATTCCACACCTCCATTCTCTCCAACCAACCCTACTGTTCGTTAATAAATAGGGTTTCGAACGAGCCCGGTGTCATTGCGCACCGACACCGAATCCATCCATCCCTTCGTTCACAGCCATATTTCTTATTGAGATTCGAGGTTCCCCGCCCCTTTCAGTCTCTTCTTAAGGGTAACTCTGGCTCGACCTCTAACCCTTCTCAATCCCTTGACCTTTCTCAGAGTTGAGAAAGAGATATTTCATCTTTCTTTTCCCATTCACTCAGCCCTCTATCCTGTTTGGGAAGTCTCAAGTCCGAACCCCGGACTTCTTCATTACTCTCTGTACCAAGTTCTGGCCTTTCTTCATTCCTTAATCTTTCTCGGAGTTGGGAAAGAGGTATCTCATCTTCCTCTTCCCACTCAGTCAACCCTTCATCAGAATCTCCATCTGTCTCCATTTCTTCTGACTCCACAAGGGTTGCTTTCCTTGTCCTTGCCCTTTTTCTCTCAGGCTCGCTTACTATTTACCAATCAGCTATTTCGGCCAACTTTAGGTCATTGGCACGAGCCCTCTTTGTTCGCCCTGCCATCTGATCCCAAATGCCAAACGACACCGGACCTGTCTGTTACACTATTTTATAGTACGGTTCTCACCTCTGGTCCAGCTCTCCTTCTCTCAGGTGAATTTTGTAGTACACAGGGTCCCCAACCCTCAATTCTAGTTCGTTTCTTTATTCACCCTTTCATTTCGCTTCTTTTGTGCCCTTTTTATTTTCCTCCTGGCCTGAACGAACAGTCTATGCTGCTGTTCTATGCTTAGCTGGTGATGGTCCTCTCCCATATACTTTCGGCGGGGTTTCAGCAAATTATCCACTGGCAGGACCACATCTCTGCCAAACAGCACAGCGAGAATCTGGAGGTTTCATTAATTGTAAACCTTACAGCCGCCAGAGCCTGCGTCAGATACAGGTCACAATTTTCCGTATCGTATCTCGCCAGTTTGGCCAACACATCTCCCAAGGCTTTGTGAAACCTCTCCACCTAAGCCTTGCCTTGATGGTGATAAGGAGACGTAGTTATTTAGACTTGTCAGTACCTATTTCATTATGTTATTTACATTTTCCGGTCTGTTGTCTGCAACCAACTGCATAGGGGCACCATATCTAGATAAAATTTCACCCATTGCCAAATCGGCTGCTGTTTTAGCTTTCTTATCCGCTACTGCGAACGCCTCAGGCTAATTCGTCAGCTAATCCACAAAATTTACTATGTCAGTATTACCTCTAGGAGTCTCCCCGTACGGTCCCGATATAACCATACTTACCTTTTCGAAGTGAAAACTCTGGACATCCACCCCTTCTAATGGTGCCATTTCCTGTTTCCTACTCTGTGTCTGGCACACCACTCAACTATGAACAACCTGGGACAGTAATAATTCCTTCCTATCAGATCATAGGCTTTATCCACCCCCTTATGCCCCAGTTTCTCATGGCATTGCTTCAATATTACAAGGCTTAAATCCTTGGGGACATATAGCCTAGGTCTAACCTCCTCATGCAATCAATTATCATCCCCCAACCCGCATCTAAATCGGAAGTTATATTATCGGAAGTGATATTATCATTATTGACAAAGTTTACTTTGCCGCTTTGGTAAAGTTTGGCACAAGGCTGAATCGGAGGCTTTCGTCGGCAGATAATCACGTGGGCCTCTCTCCTGTCTCGGGTCTCGTCTCCGTCTTTTCTGCCTGTCTTCTCTCTTCTACTGACTAATTCGCTTCGCTCATTCGTATTTATTGATATTGGCCCAAACTTGCACGGGGGTATGGCGAGGTAGAAGCATTTTGGTGAACCCCTTCCGGCTTACGTCAATAACTTTGGGGAATTCCCTCTCTCTCACTGACCATTTCAGTGAGCGTGGGTGGTCTCTCCATCCTCCTTGGTGTCTTATCTGCGCCTGCTACCTCGACCATTTTCCGCCCTGGAAAACTCAGTTCCAAATTCAGTTATTTACAAAATTTACTTTTTCGCTTTCCAGCCCGTATTTGTAGCTATGTATCAATCGACATTACCCCCTAAGTCTGCGTCACTTTTCCATGTTTCCAATTGCTCGACATACAATTCAAGTCGTTTATGTGTGACTTAAATCCTCAATTCCTCCCACGGGTTTTTGGTATTAACCCTTCTCGTTTCAATGTCTCTCAGCACATAACAATTTCTTATGTTTTAACAAAACTTTCTTTGGTTTTACCGCGGCAACAACAAATAGTATCACATAGCAATGTGATGATCATATTTTTTACATTCAGTTAATGTGTATTTAAACATATTTTCTTCTTATTTTCCTCAGGTTTCAATTGCTAAGTTATCTAATAATCCTACTATACATGATGTCAAATTTTCATATGCAAGTCAAATGTTTTCACAAGTAAATTGGTAAGCAATGTCGGTAACATTTTCAGGGTATACTTACACGATAAATATATCGTGAATTTCAGTTTATAATATCTGATTTTATTAGAAATAGTTTCAATGACACTTTGTGTAGTGTGAGATTTTATGCAAAACAAGGATTATTCATTATTGTGTAAATATATATGGTAATATAGCTACTGATATTTTTTTTTATTTCGGATTCATAAAGATGCGTCGTAAGAAAGATATAACCTTAAAAGAAAAACAAGTTATAATAAAGTTATTGAGTAATTGGAACACGCCACTGAAAATTGCAAAAAAATATTAACAGAAATCAAAAAGCAAGGAAAGAAGAAAATGGAAACATGGGCAAGACAAAAACAAAAAAAAAACGCTTGATTCAAGAATGTCATCAAATGAGATCTGAGAAAAATTGAAATGTGATAAACAATAAAGTTTATTTTTTATCACATTCATCAGCTAGCAATAAAATATTTTAAAAATTTGGTGTTCTGAATGTAAACAGAAAGAAAATGATGCAGAATTTTAAGAAAATTGTCTAAACATGAAAGAAACCGAACTAACACCTTTAAGTAAATGAAACAAAGCGAAATCAGTAATTTAGGTAAATTTGTACACATTGGATGGACCTAATGGATAAAGTAAAAGTTATGTCCTTCATGGAATTAGTCAACTTAAAATACAACAGTGGGAAATGTTTGAGTCAAATATTGTATTATGATTCCTTCAAAGTTCACGATATTTCCAACATAAATAAAAAGAGTTATAGTAATTTCTTGGATAAGATGTTTTTTGAATGGTACAGTTCTCAACCTAGCAGTTGTATACTAAAGAGAATATTACACAAACGATTATTTCCACCTTGCCAAAAAGCGTTCAAAGATAACAAATTAATGGAATGTCCTGTCAGATTCTAATTCAATAGAAAATCTGTGAACCATCAGTAAAATAAATTTATATTAGAATGGAAGACAATATTCAAACAAAGATACGTGGAGAGCAATAAAAACTGCCACAAGTAATATTAAATTCAAAACTGTAGATAAGTTAATCAAAGCAGTTACTGAAAGAATATAATGAACGTTATAGATGTCAAGGAGTCCATAGAAAAATGTAAAAATAATAATTTAATCACGTATATGCATTACAGCGTTTATAAGATATATATTCCTGTGGTTTTATTTATAAATAAAATTTATTTTACATAATAAAACTTGACATTCCAAAAACAATTTATTATTAATATTTTTAATATATATTTTCAGATATAAACTGAAACTCAAATAATATATAACACGTATCAGTTTATCCTGAAATTTTCGTCAATATCGTCAATTCATACTAATTTTATTTTGAAAACATTCACTTTCATAATAAAATCTAACATCGTGTATGTAATTTATACTAATTAATTGTAAAACTTTAAAAAGACAACATTAAAAAGGGGATATTTCACCCATTACACAGCTACCAAAGAGATTTGAAAATTTCTAATTGGAATATTTTGTTAATTTCTTTATTTCATTTAAACAGATTTTAAATTTTTGACACCGTGAAATAATTTCGTCTGTAAAAACTGCATAGAGGATGAGGCCGACAAAGCAAATTGTATTGATTATTTTATGGACTACAATATCATTGTTAAAAAAAGATAGATAATAAAAACTGAGTATGAAGTTAAATGAATGTGACCCTTATAAATTCGTCAAATACATGAAATTCATTCGTTAAATGATTGCTTGTTCACTTATCATGAATATGTTGTCTCCATTCTCTCTAATCGAACAGACTGGTATTTAAAAACTATACATGAACTACTATAAATAGATTTAATATTTGAGACAAGAATCTCAAAGTAAATATTCAACTTTCCTATTTCTTAACAAGAAAAATATAGCTTTTATGTTTTAGGCTTTTGTATTATTTGTATATTATTCATTTGCTTTCTTTTTGTTTAATTTTGGCGCAGGTTACTTCCTTTTTGCATCGGAAAAATACAGCGTATTTGAAGGAGGGGGAGTTTTACAAGTGGACGTACTCTTTGCAAGAGCATTACAGTAAGTTAATAACTTTATACATTCAACCTCCTCTCTACACACTCATTGAAACTTACGTGTCCTCATTCAGTAGTTTCATCCATGTCTCTCACTAATGCTTTTAGAATATTTTTCCTAGTTATTATCAACAAGTAATTAAATTATGATTTTTAGAATATAACAGTAATACATATTACTACCAAAAGTGGATATCAATCATTTAATTTTCATTTCGATAACTGAAAAGGAAAATATTCGTTTTGTTTTTTATCAGGTTAAAGTCAAACACAATGCGCCTTTCATTCAAAACTTTCCGGAGGACATGAACACTGACAGATCACTTTCTTCTTATTAAATCAAACGAAAAAAAAAGTTATTGCTTGTATAATACCAAGTTTTACTCAGTTTTATGACGATTGTAACTATCTACAAAGCCTTTATCAGTTTTAAAAAATATTCATTTGCGTAGGAGATAGCTATGTATCATCAGTGTCCAGTTAAGGATATAAGTACTAGGTTATTTCTATCGAACTTTTCTCCTGTCTAAACTAACAAATATAGTTTCATTTATTGCGGCGATGTATAATCTGCAAAAAAAATAACGGGATTATTTATGAATGAAATGTCTATCAAAATATATGTGTATTCAACTTACAATCAAAATGTGATTCATCCCATCTCTGCCTAGTATTAGTGTAGAATCTATACGCTCGGCATAACTGTTTGTAAATTAATGTTATCCTATTGTTCAAGCGGCAGAACTTTGACATCGTGGATGTGTTATTTTCCGCTAAATCGACGTTCGAATCAGGGAACATTCCGTCTTATTCATTTCTTCTTTTTTTTTATTCATACTTGTTTGCTTTAGGGTGACACACGTTTCGAACAGAGAAACAAAAAATATAAAGAAAAAAGTCACACGGTTAATTAATATATATGGTTAATAAAACAAATAACCGTGAAAGTCCAACAGACATTAACCACAAGAAACACGTTTTTTTTTTCCTGCAGTCGAACTCCAGCTACTGGTGCTAAGTGGGAATCGTGCAACTATCTCAGCCTTCAAGCAGGCTTTGTTTCTCTAAATATTATAATAAATATTCTGATACATTATACACTGGAATTTACAATAAGCCACGGAAAGACAATAATTGTTGCTTAAAAAGTAAGTTTTTTCAACTTTAGCAAATATCATGTAATCAACTCGTTTGTCAATCATGGCCGTCTGTTTATTTCATTTGTGGACTTTCCAAATCACAAAAGGACTTAGAAAGACTTTATTCATAATTCAACAATGTGTAATTATTCTGCATGATTTAAATATGCTCCTGTTGCTAAATGAAACTTTAAAATAAATAAAGATAATGAACAAAAATTATTATTCGATCTGTAAATATCGTAGTAAAAATATACAGCAATAAGAGACACTTTGCTTGATACTAAAGTTTATTAAATGAAACTGTTTTTCATAATATGATTATGTAAAATTTTGTCCTTCATGACGCATTCTTATATCCTTTTCTTTTACTACAGGGTACCTTCGAACAAAAGGAAGGTAAGATATTTATTTTTCTCAATTACAAATTTGAATTTTCTCTTGGCATAATTTCTAACAGGAATATTCAGAGGTATATTCATGGGTATATATATGTGTGTATGTGGGTACACGCTTATATGTATGTATGTACGTGTATATGTTATTGTGTATGTGTGTATACGCATGTGTTTTTGAACATAAAAATATAGGTCCTTGCTAGATCAGATAATCGTTATATTTATTTTTTATGTTTATATTTGATTTGTAACCTGTAGTCGATATTAATTTTGTCAAATTTTCTTAATTACACAGCGGCCCTTTCAGTAAATGTCCTTCAGTTTTAGTTATCCCGCCCCATCTCTCTCCCCACCCCTTTCTCTCTTTTTTTCTTTTTTTCCTTTTTTTTTTTTTCTTTTCTTTTCCTTTCCCTCCCTCTTCTTCTGATCTTTAAGATTAGATCGTCTATTGTGTGTGTATGTCACCACAAAATGTATCCTTTCCGGTTACATCTTTAATGTATTAGACATCCGACAACATTCATATTTCTCTCACTTAAACTGTCTTTAATTCACCTCTCTAAAACTTCTCTCTGTTAAGTTTTAATCTCCCACCTTCTCTCGTCTGTTACCCCTCTCTTTAGCTTTAACATTCGTCCCACACTCGTCTTACACTCTCTCTGAATTCTATTTTTTACTTCCGAAGTTGTTTTTTCTGTTTTCTTTTTGAATTTGTAGGTCTGATGAATTGGATCGTATTTACGATTCCAATGGAATAAATTCTGACCATGGAATATTAGTGTTTAAGCCTTTTTATTATATCCTTACTCTGTCCTGGACATTGAGTTCTACCTGGATTTTTTTATTCAAAAAATATATATGTATGTATATGCATGTATGTATATATATTTATATATTTTGCATATGTATGTGTATATTTACCACTAACATGTTTAAATAAATTACTTCTGTTGAAAAGCGAGCGAGCAATCTGGCTAGATACTACTCAACTTTTATCATACTATTTTTTTTATTTAATGCTAATAAAATGATCGTGAAAAGACAAATTCTACCACTTAGAGGAAATGTCAAGCTATATAAATCGTTGACTTACAACTGTACTTTATCCAAAAGTGCTATTGTACTTTATTTTAAAGTATATCACCTGGAGACATTAGAGAAATGAGATTATTTTTACGACATAAGTATATTTGCTCCGCCTTGTCAAATACTTAAATAGGATTTATACTTTGATAACTCCGTTTATAGGTTTATTGATTAATACATTTCAAAATATACATTTTAGACTACTTTCTCAGTACTTTTTCAAACTACAAGTTAACATGATAAAAACTTTCAATCTATATATATTTTAAAAATTTAGTAAATACTAATATAACAGATCCTAGCAAAAAAATTAAGTTAATCATATACTACACTAAATCTAGTATATCCAACTCAATTATTCACAATGATTCTTCATTTTTAGGCATTTAAAACAACATGCCTGGCCGCATACACAATTCCGGAAAATCCTTGTTGAAAACACAATTATACTTAAACATGAAAACAATAAACAAAAACTAAAAATTCTTGAAGCTATATATCAGGTCATCCCATAAGTTCTGTCCGAATTTTAACTTTTTTAAAAATGAACGAAATTTAAAGAGTATGTTATAATGTCTAATGGAGCTGAACATTATTTTTATGTTTAGATGCATTTAAACTGATCAAATTTTATTTCAGAGAGCAATAAAATTAAATTTTATTTGATTAAAACTCTGCTAACATGGAAGTACCCAAGAATCACTTGAGGCACATAATGTTTTATGAGTTCAAGAAACAAAACTCAGCAGCCGAAGCGGCTAGAAACATTCATTCAGTTTATGGAGAGGAATATGTGAATGAAAGAACTTGCAGAAGATGGTTTGCAAAATTCAGAGGTGGAGATTTCACCCTTGAAGATGAAGATCGAACCGGACGTCCAGTTGAATTTGATGAAAAGCTTCTTGAAGCAGCCATTGAAGAAAATCCTGCTTTATCAGTTGAGGAATTGGCAGTGGTTCTCAGTTCAAACCATACAACTGTTCATCGTCATCTTCAACAACTTGGAAAAGTTCCTAAACTTGGAAAATGAGTGCCGCATGAATTGTCTGAAAACAACCTCAAATCCCGAGTTGACATCTGCTCTTCTCTCCATTCTTGCCAACTTGTTGCACCTTTTTTGGATAGATTTGTGACTGGCGACGAAAAATGGATCTTTTATCGAAATGTTATGCATCGTAGACAGTGGCTTGGTAAAGGGGAAGGACCACAGCCGAGAAGGGAACTTCATGGGCAAAACGTTCTTCTTTCAATCTGGTGGGATCGCCAAGGAATAATCCACTTTGAATTCTTACCACCTAATGCAACAATTAATGCTCAAATATACTGTCAGCAATTAGAGGGTTTGAACCAAGCTTTGAGAAAAAAAGATCTGCTCTAGTGAATCGAAAAGAGGTGATGTTTCATCAGGACAATGCGTGACCCCACACAGCAAGAATCACGTCACAAAAGATCGAAGAACTTGGTTTGGAGAAAATTCCTCATTCACCTTATTCTCCCGATCTTGCTCCTTCAGACTACCATTTTTTTTGTAGCTTACAGAATCATTTGGAAGAAACAGCTTTTGTAACACAGGAAGAGGTTAAAACTGACATTTGTGAGTTCTTCGAATCAAAGCCAAAAGAATTTTACAGTAATGGAATTAGTAAGCTTGTTAATAGATGGAAGGAAGTCATAGATAATCAGGGAAAATACATTGTTGATTGAATCTGTAATTAAATGTAACATTTGGTCACTTGTTTTTTTTATTCAAAATTCGGACAGAACGTATGGGATGACCTGATACATAAAACAGTTGAAACCTAACCTGAACAAAATAAACTATGAAATCTACACAAATATTCTTAAATGTCTATAATTGGTAACAGAAGCCATTGGCTTCCCATACTTAATACTTCTCGAATTCACTCTCGCGTGGTCATGTGTGACGTCATGAGCTGCTGTGCGATTTTCGCTTCCAGCGTCTTATATGCACGTGCTTATCGTTGCTTGGAAATCGTCCATGTAAGCAGAAACAGACTAACATCACTTTCTTGTCCGTGTATTGTTTAATATATTGTACTGCAATTGTCATCTTTATTGTAAGCCGAAAGCTTAGATTGGATTAAAAAATATGTATCAATATTGTGATTTTCTTTCTTCGTTTAATGATAATGTTATTAAGCTTATCAGACGTTATGAAAAGAATTTACATAAAATAGACAACACTTGTCTATATTATCTAATGAAACATGTATGAATCTATATATATATATATGTGTGTGTGTGTGTGTGTGTGTGTGTGTGTGTGTGTGTGTGTGTGTGTGTGTGTTGAAACAATATAACTGCCTGTATTAAAGATTCTCTGATTTCATGCAGTGTTATTCGTTGATGGATAAATTTATGTGTTCCTACGATATTTCCAGTCTATTTACCTGCGTTCCACTTGTTGAAACTATTGATATATGTGCTGATGTCAGTTGTCCCCTCCTGTTGACGTTTTCGTCGAACTGATGAAATTTGCCACGATGTCAGTCGAATTTAGATTTGACGGCGTCATGTACAGGAAGGTTGATGGTGTTTTGATAGGTTCCCTCTTGGGACCCATTTTAGCAAATATCTTTGTTGGGTTTCAGGAAGAGAGTATGTTATTAAAACCTAATAAACCTGATGTTTATTCCGTTACGTTGATGTCTCTTCGATAACGAGATTGAAGCGGACCGTAAAATTAATTTAATTAAAACGCTTACCCATAGGGCTCTTATGATTTGTTCTAAAATTAAGTTGGATGATGAACTAAGCTTTATTACTACTACTCTCTGTAACAATGCCTATCCATTGGGCATTGGTCAAGCAATAATTATGAATAAAATTGCTGAATTCAATAAGGTTAAACCTGCTATAGTACAAAGATGTCCTGTATACCTGTGCCTTCCTTGATTGGATAATATCAGTGATCGATATGCTAAACAGGTATCTATAGCAGTTCGACATTGTTACTTTGCTGCTAACACTCGTTTTGTTTTCTCTGCCAAGCCTGTCCATGCGTAAAGACGTTCTCCCCCCACATCATAATAGTTCTTTAATTTATTCCTTTTAAATGTAGTTGTGGTTCGCACTACATAGGGATAACGACTCCAAGGCAACACGTTCCAACCAAAATCCACCATCTTAAGTACACTCCTTCAGACATTCTGACCAATACATACGGGTCTTCCATCGCAGAACTCCTAATAAATAGCCATAATTGTGCTACTAGTTTCAGTGTAGACTCATTTACCATTCTTAGCAAGTCCCACTAAAATTACCACTTGAAAGTATTGGAGGCCATTTATATTTTATCGTTGAAGCCATCTCTGTGTAAACAGGACTTCGTACTAGGCCTCCAAATAATTTCCATCTAGGCAATATTTTTTTTCAATACATATTGTCCACCTTTTTTAGTGTTAATTCTATTTAATTTGTTAACCTCGATTTAGCTCTCTTGAGCGAGGTTCGAAACCGGTTAGCTATCCCGTTTTTCAGTTTTACTTTTTATCTATTATCCTCATGAGTGGTAATAAAAATAATTTTTGTCCTTTTATGGCAGTCATATATATATATATATGTGTGTGTGTGTGTGTGTGTGTGTGTGTGTGTGTGTGTGTGTGTGTTTAGGCAACAAATTCACTTTCAGGTATGCCTGATGGAATAAATTATAAATGTTATGTCTGCTTATTTTGATCATAATCCTTTCATATTCGCGAATATTTTCCGCATATTAAAATTAAATGAGGCAAGAAATGCACTGTAACAGTGAGAAACACTTTTATTACCCAAGTACTTTCCATCTCTTTCTGAGATCATCATCAGGAATGCAAGTAGCAAGGCAATTTATATATATATATATATATATATATATATATATGGATGGGTGGTTTCTCACTTCGAGAACAATGTAATGTTCAATAAATTCTAAGTTTTTAGTGAAGAACCTGCACAAGATGTTTAAAGTGTTCAACTGCCTATGCACTGCAATGCTCATTCACTCCATCATAGCACTATATCTTGTACTGGTGCACTGTGTGTCACATGTCAGATGATGCTATGATTGCAGGCATTTTTATACGAATTTTCACTCTTAGCTGCATGCCCATCCACCATTTGCCAACCCTCTCTAGGCTGATTTCTTTCTCTAGACTAGCTGCCAACCAACTATATAAGAACTAGTCTATTCTGCTATTTACCCATAGTTGGGAGGAGAAGTGATGGTTTCCTACCTTTCCCAAGGGTAATTGCGCGCGTGTGTAACGAACTTGACCTAAATTCGAGCTCGTTTTTCCGATTTCTCATTTCGAGTCGTTATCCATTACACCACCCGCACATCCAAGATCACCCGGTATTCACAAGCGTACTGACCAGGTTCAATGTCGCTTTAATTATAATTGCTGATACTAAAAACTGAAGTAAGATCACCACTAGAGAAGATGAATAGGAACAAATCAGTAGATCCTGATGGGATCATAATACAAATGTTCTCAGCCTTAGACGCCATCTACAAGATCACAGAAATAATAAACAACATTCCGGGGAACCTCACCAAATCCATATACGAAATATTACCTAAGAAACCAAGCGCAGATGAATGCGAGCCACATCGGACATTCAATTTAATAACAAAACTAATGATGCGAATCCTGATGAATAGTACGCGAAGCAAAATTAGACAAGAAATATGACAAGAACATTGCGGCTTTGTCAAGGACACTGGAACAAGAAAGGCAATTTTCATTAAAAAGGCAGCAAAGAGAGAAATACAAACGCAAAGGATATGCACGTATGTTTTATAGATTTTGACAATATACGGCACACGAATCTATTTTGAAATGCTAGGAAAGTTATATTTATTTGGAAATGATGTTAGAATAATCCTCAATTACGGATAAAAAATGAATTGAGAAGCTACAAAATATAGAATGGAGTGTGAGACAAAAATGTGTCTTCTTCACAGATTTATTCTGCTTCTACAGTGACGCTATTCTAAGCGAACTCGAGACCCTACCCTACACCAGTGGGTGTAATCTTAACAATATAAGATATGCAGATACGTGTTTTAATTTTTTCTTTTTTTTAATATACGCTCTTAAATAGGGCACCGGAGGGAGTTGTCAGTGATGTAAATTGACTTGGTTCATCAGGGAGATTCGGGTGTTTCAACATCATACATCCCATTACCAAGCCGACCCCAATGAGAGTACATCAAACTCTGACTCCCCATCCGCTATCAAATGCTAGCAGAGACTCTGGCTTTTCTACTAAATTGGACGAAAGTAGAACACGTTTTCCGCGCAGACTGCATTTTTAAATGGTCCACGGAGGATTGGCTCCTTTTTTCTTTTCTTTTCTTTTTTTTCTTTATCGGATGGATAGCAGCTTCAGTGGATAACCGAGGGGATAATTTAACATTCTAGATTGTTTGTCAAACAAGGTTTGATTTTTATTCTAACAATTTTCAGTTTTGTTTTGTTATCTACCCTAAAATTCTAAAGGGATTTCCAAAGGGATTTTAACTCCGACCTAAATTGTTTAATTTTTATTTCCCTCCTATTTTCCTTGCTAATAACCTTTTTTCCGCTCCTCATATCCGAATTTTAACAGAGAATGGAAAATGTGACACCAAGATTAGACTAGCGAAGGAAGTATTCCAAAAGTTAAGCAAAGTGCTGATAAACGGAAATTTCTCGTTAGAAACAAAGTAAAGAATGCTGGATTACTATTTCTTATCCATCCTATTATATGACAGTGAATGCTGGGCAATCTCTCACAGATGACGAGAAAACTGGAGACAGCAGAATTGTGATTCTACAGGAGGAAACTGAAAATTCCATGGACAGAATGAGTAAGCAACAAGGAAGTCTCAAAGAAAACGGTAACAGAAAAAGACTTCTACTCAGAATCAAGAAAAGACAGCTGAAATTCTTTGAACACATAATGAAGAAGGAAAACTTAAACCTCACAGAGAATATTAAGGACAAGAGAGATAGGAGAAAGTAGTGAACCACTTACCTGATTAGGTCGTTAATGGTGGAACAGAGACGGGAGCCTTAGCAGAGAAAGGGCCTAGAAAGAATAGGAAGTTGCGGAGAGCCGTCATCGCTTATGTCCTGATAAGACGTGTCACATAGAAAAACTTAGCTCTTGTTTTTTTTTTTCAGTTATGCTAACCTGAAAAAAAGTAGAATTCTCATAATTTTCACATATTTTCTGTATTATTATTGTTATATATAAATGCTTTTTCTACATTCTTCTATTTTTTGCAGCATAGTAAGAAAAACATTTTACAAAACTCCAACAGTACTGATGCGATCCCGAATAGTCATATGCCCAACCAATTGTCCATGTCAAGCACTGCCATAAACCTCGGATCCGGCCTTGTTTCTGTTGATTACGAGACACGAGAAGGCAATGCGCGTTCCTCTCAGGATTTTCAGCCAGTCAGTGGCACGTTGGTAGGTTTATCAATGCTCAAACATTAGGTTAAATTTATGCAAAATAACTCAAAGATAAAATTAAATCTAGGCACCTCTTTAATTTACAAGCAACACGAAAATAAATCCAACAAAAGCAAAAGAAAAATCAGTTAACGAAATATAAGGCGCGTGTGTGTCCTCCCCCCCACAATGTTCCTAAAGTCATTTTAACTCTTAAAAGCTTTACGTATATCTAATAATTTCTTTGAATAAAAAATATCTTTTAGTGAGGTGCACGCTTGTTATAATTTTTTATTTCTTGTAAGCTAAGAAAGCATCTTTAATCTAAATTGCTAAGAATATTAGAAAAATAAAGTTTAAAGTTGACCAATAATTTTTATTTCATTCATCTGATGCATGTTTGGGACATCACGTTATTTTTCTGTGTCACATGATATATAATATATAATGTGTTTTGTGTATTTAAAAATATCAGATAAAACCCCATGTAATATCTTTCTTATAAATATGTGCAATAGCGAAGAAATGTTATTTCATATGTTGCGATAAATCATTATACGATACACACCTTCTTTATATAAACGAGATCAAAACAGGATAAGTGATATCAATTAAGAGTAACACATTACTTGTTTCTTTTATTTATTTATTTGGTGTTATATTTTTTTACAAAGCAAAACAGTTTTTAGAGATTGCTTTATTTTGCAGGCATTTTAACTTGGATGTCAATGTCTAACATAATTTCAGCATTAAAACAAACTTAAAACAACTTTAACATTTATGTTACATTTTAATTACGATTTAATCATCAGGTTTTCAGAGAAGATGAATACAGAAAACAAATCCCAATTAACATCACGACTGAAGGACGCACTATTAATACTGTTGATTTCTTCCTCATACTGAAGAATCCATCCGGTAATGCTGGTTTAGGGGACCCTTCTGTGGCACACGTTGTTATCATTGGTAGACACGGTAAGGATTTTTCTTGTCAGTGGATAATGTAATAGAAATGGAGTAAAGAAGACATTATTTAACACGTAAAAGAATATTTTTCATTATAATATTTTATAGATATTGAAAATGTGTCCTTTTGTACAAGTTTGCAACTAGATATTTCATTGCTCGGCTGGATGTTACGAAAAAATTCAATATCGACAAGTAAAGTCTAATCTTGGTCATAATATTTGTGCTAATTTTCAAGTAAATGCAATTAACGTTAGTTTAACACAAGTCATTTTATATTTCCTGTAGGAAAAATGCATAAACATTTATATTGATATAAGATAGAAGCTATTAACTACTATCTAACTTGAGAAAAAGATGTGTCGTCTTTCACTGAAATATTTACCAGTTACAAATTAATTTTAGCTAATGAGATATTTTTGTAGAGTTTTTCATTTTGATTCTCTTCCAATATTTCTCTTGGACAGTGAATTGAAACGCCTTTCAGAATGTTACCGTCGGAAAAGCTTATTTTACATGCTGCAATATTCATGACAACGAAAATAAAATTAATAAAAAATCATAATATGGTTTCAAATGGCTTGATCAAACATTAAACTCTAGTTGCAACTGATACAGTTGAAAGTCTGTTATGAATTAGAATTAGCGATCTAAGTTTTAATTCTGATCGTGAGTGTTAAATACTACTCAAATGCTAACGGTCTTGAGAAAGGCATGGATACTTTGTAGTGCAATCAGAAAAGGTAGAAGAGTGAGAGTAAAGGCCCAATTCTCTGTGAATAATTTGTAATACAGATACAATTTTTAATCCTGAACAAAGGTTGACTTCATATTTGCAGTCATTTCTTAAAGTGTAATATACATTTTCTAATCCGTAGTAAAATGAATAAATGTATCAAAACAAGAATTCATATTTTTCGTAGATATTAACTTATTCTTTCTAATTACAAGAGAGATTAAATTACAAATGAAATGAATTTTTTTTTATCAGTAATTTATTGAATAAGAAGTCAAGTTAAGTAATAAGCAATTCAAAGAATGGTAGGACGTTGGTTCGTTATACCACTCATTTGTCTGATTGTAAAGCCGATTCTCTTGCCCGGTGTCAGTTGTAACGCGATCTCTGGTCAAGGAGTCCATGTGACACCGCATCCTAACCCCACTGGGCTGACATCATCCACAAGCCCGGCTGTTGGTCCTGTATGATCCAGTATTACAATTTAGACCTAAGTTTCTGGTTTCAAATGTCGATTCGATTCCACTCACCAGCCACGTTGTAATTTGTTGATCCTAGCGAGTAGTTATCGGGTCGTAGAATTCTAAAAGCTCTCCGTTGGTTGTTTGGTGAGAATCGGCTTAACAGAAAATAAATTTGGCCAAGTCGATCCGATTTTAGAGAGACAATATGTTTATATATATATATATATATATATATATATATATATATAACATCAACAGTACATATAATATAATTTTCGTGGCAAAAAGTTGAATGTCTCTTGTATATGAATGATGATCCACAAAACAAAAATACTACATGTAATTTCGTTAAAAGACAGAGGTGGCTTCGTTTTAACCCTTTTTGATTACCGTAGCTTGTTCGACGTTTCCGTTCTCACTGGTAGTAATAATAGTTGTAGTTTTAGCTGTTGGAGGAAGTAATTAGCTTCTTCGTACTTATATCAAAAGCACGTTAGCGGACGCTTTGTTCCAATCTCTGACGTCACTCCCTCACTGTCTCTAACCTAACTCTCCGACTGACAGTCTCTAACCCAACTCTCTCTCTCTCTCTCTCTCTCTCTCTCTCTCTCTCTCTCTCTCTCTCTGCTCTGCTCTTTATATAGAGAACTGGTGACGTATTTGTTTTCTTCAGTGCGAAAGTACTGACATACTTTTATTGGGAACGAGTCGAGTTATTTCCCAACACACTTCTAAATTAAAAAAACAAACAAACTTCATACTCATTTCGTCTTTCGGTACCCGAACCACTGTCATTGTTCTAAGTTTGTCTATCATTAGCTCTGAGCAATTTTGGTAAACTTTACATAGGTTCATGCTGTCTTGTTATCGATAAAATTAACCTTTAGATCAAGACATTCTGAATTCTATTTTCTATTAATAATCTGATATCTTTTATACGCTTAAAGAGAAAAAAAGATTGTATTTCGCTTTCTAAATAAAATCTGTAACGTTTACACATCAAAGTCTTTAAAGCATTGTTAAAATCTTGGTTCTTTTGAAAACGCCTATTTTTCTTTTCTTGTTTTCCAGCATTTTCTCCTTTATTATCATTATTATTATTTCGGCGTGATATCCCCCCCCCCGCCACATGATGACAACATGGATGGGAGATAAGTTCACAAGCCTGTGCCTGCTACGAATGATCCCTAATACCTAAGTTTTAACAAGACGTGGTTTATTTTAGATTTTGGTTGCAAAGGGTTTTCAAACTAGCGATTCCCCTTAGATATTTCTAATATTTGACAGCAATATGCATTAGTCTGAATTCAAAATTGCTCATTCACAGCTATGACGATGGTAGAACAGTCGTATGTATCTATTCGTTTCTTTATCTGTTCAAATGCTGGGATGGTGGTCAGCTCGACTGTTCATTTACAGCTACTATACGATTTTCTTTTCACATGTCTCTGTGAAAGTCTACACAGATCGTCCAAATGTACAGTCTGCTGGTTGTCACTATTAATGTATTGGTAAGATTCAACTGTGAAATGTCTCTTGTTTCGGAAAGCACATGGCCAGTCCGCCATTCGACAAGTTCAGATAACCCAATTCCCGAAAACTATTCTTCCTGTGAAAGCAACGGTGAATATGTCTTTATATAAACAAATCAAATGACACGGCTCATTTGTCAGCTTAACAGAACTTGTCGGAAAACCCATTTCCACAAAATATTCTTTAAATTACTTAATCACAATTGTTTTTCAGAATAAAAATTAATTTAGTGGATGGCTACAAGGCCATACTCAGCTATACAAGGTTATCGCCCAATTAATATTCATGTTCAATGATGTAATGAATATGCATACACCTGGGTTCCCTCTCAGTAATATGATTGGCTGGTATCAGCCATAAATACAGACTGATGTGGAGGTACAGGACGACGCCTATTGCCTACGCCTATTGCCTACCCCTACGACGAGGACCAGTCCATTATGGTTACCTGCTAGATTGTCTTAACTGGTTACAGTAGTCAACAGTCACTTTGCTACTTCGACAAATATATCCTTTTCCAGGACATATCATTCAGTTATTTCAGAAGTCTCTCCAATCAATTAACTTTCTTAATTATTTTCCACCTTTTATTTCAATATTTATTAAATTCAATCAAGCGTTCTTCCGAATTCTATACCATAAAAATGTATCTTTCTATATTTAACTCTGTTCGTTAAATGTTGTCAAGCCTCCTTGAGGCTCTACTCGTCCCACACGAATGGATCATCACTCCACCTCACCACATTGGTACATTTTTTTTTTTTTGTACACGGTGAAAGAATTTATTTTCGGTGTTACTGACGTTGTTGCATTTTAAATAACAAAATTATGAAAAATGATATTCGATATTGTCTTTTATGATATTCATATAAATTTGGCCTTTAGATACATTTAAGTATCTGTAATAGCAAAAAGATATCCAGCTTAAAATATATAATCATACCACAAAGCATTGGTTATCCAATTGAAAACTAAATGTATAATTTGCTTTAATTATTTTCATAGTAAAATAGAAGTAAAGATTTCAGAATCCCGGAAAAATAAGTAGATTATTGAAAAATTGTTTTGAAAAACTAATTAGTACTGTCTAATTTTTTTATTCAATTTTAAGTAATCATATCGATATGGGAAATGTCTAATTTCCAATATATTTAATATTGCGTTCATGGCATTACACATGAGATATAATGGTTATACTTTAACATCTGACTATTTTTAAAAAAATGATTCCTTAGTACGTGTGAGACTTATTTTTTAAAATCAAACTTTCACCTGTTTTGTATATTATTGCGTGAACAGAGCCCGGAGAGTTCCTCTTCGAATCCGCGTTCTGTCATGCTGACATGAAAAATGGTACAGTCACGGCAGTTGTCCACAGAGAGGGCGGATTTGATGGTGTTGTGAGTGTCCAGTATCAAACTATGTAAGTATAATTGCATTGATTTGAATGATCAATTTTCATTATATTTATCATGTATAAACACTTAAATATTAATAATTATTATACTTAGATAATAAATTCTATACAACATTTCCCTTAAATATTTTGTAATTAATTCGCATAATTCGGATAATTCATTTTCGCAACCAACATAAACAAAGTTTGAAAAGGATTTCCATTTCTTCAAAAAAGTTTGAAATTTTCAATTTTGTCCTAAGAGAGTCGGTCTGAGTAATTATATGGGGTATTTTACTTTTTAATAATCTTGTATTCTGTTGGCTCTTTCTCCCTCTCCCTAGGGTGAAAAAAGGATTTCTTGGTGATAAAGTAGTTTGGATTTAAACTTTATAATGTACTCCTACTTTGTTGCCTATAGTCACGTATCGCCCAAGGTTCAACATACAAGTAATATGAGTGCATATATGCGACTGAGATGAACACCCTCGGCCGTGGTGAAGACAGTTCATCTAGGAGAAGGTAAACTATGATATAAAACCAAATGGGTAGATAAAACTCATTAGCCATCTTAATTGTCATCTGTCTAGAATAAGGAAACTCATATAAATCAATCACTGACTTCATGACAATGCCTAATAATTTAAATGAATACCGTATTGTTCGCCACACGGATTGACACGGGGCAATTCTCGGGGTGATATACCACATGTCGATGTCGAAAAATCTGTTCTACTGGTAAGGAAAGGTCCAATTATCTATCTAACCTCACCTAAAACATCAACTAAAAAATTTAAACTTAATTTTTATTTTCAAGTGGAAAGTAGAACACATCAACGTCTAGTTAAGATCAGGTGCATTTCATTTTAGAACAAATACATGAATGCAAACCTTGGTGTAGTCTGCATGCAAGAGGTGTGTCAACTTGGTAGTGATTCCATTTCATATTTGAGATAAAACTTATATTGGACAGGCCTAAAGAAAAGACAACATAGATTTGGAATTGTAATACGCAAATCATTAGACAATATCTTACAACATTCAGAAAGACTAATGTTTAGCGAGATAGTTGTTCGCAGCGGTAAAATCCGAGTGATATCAGCTTATACACGAAATGATAAAAAGTGTTGCTTCTGTAAAAGAGAACTTCTACAGAAGATTAACTAAGCTTTGTGTACTAAGGGAAACAGACAACTGTGCATTAATGGGAAGTTTTTGATGGAAAAAAAACCTCAAGCAGTAATGGGGAACTCTTTTTTATTATTCAAAAAAATATTCAATTCTAAACACATGGTTTGACCATCCCATGAAACATTGTATCATATGGCATGGCTCAGATAAAGTAACCAAAAAGATTATTGACTTCAGCATCTCGGAATCTTCGCTTGGGCAATTTGTGACAGGAGTTAGATTATGTAATTCCTACTTGAAATCTGATCACAGACTTCTTGTAACAAAACTGTCAACACCAGTCAACAAAACCTTTAAAAATGAAAATGTAAGAGTAATATTTTGTGATAAGATGAAGTCTGAACTAATGTCTCTAGATCTTAACCCAAGGAATATGTAAAATGTATCTTTTTAGTCAAAGCATGTGTGACCATTGCAAACATATGTTGGCAGAAAAAGAGCCTCTCCTACTGAAAGACAATCCCGAGTTGAAAAAGAAACAACCAAAAGCCAAAACACACAACCAACTTTCTCATCTTCTAGGCAACCTCCCTCACCCACAAATTCTACTAACAATACAGATAATTTTATTTTAAAATATTTTGTTTCTTTTTCATTCCCCCTCAATGGCAATACTTTATTTTCGTTCGTTACTCTTGCAACTATACGATCTACATAACATCATTATGTATTTATTTTAAAATGTTCAACAGTCTTGTGGAAAAATCTAACTTGAGTTTATTATGATCCCATATTCGCCTCATAAAATGTATTTAACGTTTAATAAAATTAATCAACACGTTCTCATTATTGTCTAATTATCGAAGAAATTATTTTTTTATAAAACGCCAGCAAACGATGTTTATAATTTCTGTTCACAAACAAGTCTTCTAGTTGATCTATCCTTTCCTAATGAAGGAAATCAAAATTTTAAGTGATCAAAACATAACATTACATTGTTCATCGTTACAATGTTGTATTTATTTTCATATTTCGAAGGCATGGAGCTGCGTTTTTTTTGCGTTTTTTTTTACGTTTTTTTTTTTTTTTTTTTTTTTTACACTTTTTTATATTTCGAAGGGATGGAACTGCGTTAGGCGGGAGTGAACTCGGAATTGGTGCAGACTATATTGTTACTAAGGACACACTGACCTTTGCAGACGGTGAAATTACCAAAGCTATAACCATTGAAGTGAACTCTGAAATAAAGGTGACTTTTTTTCTTTACTGTTATCTGCTACATGTGTACATCATGTACCATGTTTCTGCGGGCAATATTAAAAAATAATAAATATTTAAAAATTAAAAATAACAAAAGATAACTAAAATTCTATCTTACAAGCTATTTGGACATTTTAAAATACATTTATATTTCAAATTTTGTAACTTTATATTTTAAAGTATCAGTAAAAGAAAATGGAAGAGGTAGGTTGAGGAATTTCAACTAAGCATTTCGGGATACTTAGTATACTTTTCGGGTTATAAGTAATCTGGACACTTTCAGCAGAAGAGAAGCAGAGAAGTCTTGATATATTTATATTCTTTATTTTAATTTATTTTATTTTCTTTGAATTTCTTTATTTTGCTGTATATTTTTTGTTACCCGTACCTGATTTTATTTAAGTACTTAATTTTGAATGTGTCAGGCTTGTAATCATCTTTTGCTCACAGAAACAGTCGCTGACCAAAATTGGGACTGAACGGTGAGTTATTTAAATGTATATTTTCCAAAATATCTTGTATGTATATTTCACAAAATAAGTTCAAATATTGGCCATCGAGAAAAAGATTGTTTTTTTAACTTAGCCGTCGTGTATTGGGGCAAATAGAGTAGAGATACTTTGAACTCGTGGTAAAATGTCGTAATTAGGCCAGTTAATATTCCGCTCGATTTTACCTTGATAGAAGATATCGCAACATACTAAGTTAAAACTTAATATATGATATCATACTATCAGTACCTTTAACTACTTCTACCCTAAGAGATGGGAGTAAATATAAATTAAAATAAGTGTGATTGTCATTACACGTTCAGCGAACGAACTAGATATGTTCTCACTTTGCGAAACCAATTTAATTTCTTCTATTGGTACCAATTAATTCTTTATTCCGTGTTATCATCCTTTTTGGTGAAAATATAAGATAAATATGCTTGGCTTTGGTGTTTATATCAGGGAAAATCTTCCATTTGCAAGGGAATTGTCTCTAGAGTCCTCCAGATGATTCGTTCACGTGCTTTTTGACTTTTGTTATTGCCCTGTTAACTAATCTCTTTGTCGTTTATCGCTCTCCTTCTTCTCCAGACTGTAATATATTAGACAAAATTTTTGACAGTATAGGAATGGGCCTCTCTTACATTCTTCTGCGAACATTTTTATGTTTGGTGATTTTAAAGCTCATCACATCAAGTGATTCATGCATTCTAGTGTCTCTGATGTTGCCAGTATTCAGAGTTTCAATTTTTCCATTTCTCAGTCCCTCGGTCAAATAGTGGATTTCCCTACTCGTTTCCCTAATAAATCTGATCAACATTCTTGTATTCCTTAATGCCTTTCCTAGCTATCATCGAGCATTACAACTCTGTTCTCTTGGCACTTCGGATGATGCTGTAGTATCTGTTGATATTTTTTTGAGTCGTCTATTAGAAAGGAATCTCCTATTCACAAAACTTCTTTCGGTTACCAGTATACTGATTGGAATTCATTTCCTAACTTCCTTCGAGACACCCCTTGGATTGATATTCTTAACCTTCCTATTGAGAATCGTGCCTCGGGGGTTTCTTCTTGTTAAACACGGCATCAATACTTTTATAACTTCTCGGAAATACCAGGTGAAACCACAATCTTCTTCCTGGTTCACGTCGGCCTCTTCAGCTGCTATAGCCCACTGGAATCACTTTTCCGGGTCTACCAGCGTGATAATTTCGATCGCAACATACGCTTATTTATGTCTGCTCGTAGTAATTGTAAACGTGTCCTCAAAGAGGCTAAGTATTTGTTTACTGATAGAATGAGACATCGTACAGTCTCTAACAAGTTTGGCTCTCGTATTTACTGGCGGCTCTGTAATAGTGTCTTAAATAAGAGCAATTCTATCCCTCCTCCATTCAGTCAATTTGGGGTGTTAACATCTTCTACTGATTAAGTAGAATGTTTTGCTTGTAAATTCTATTCAAATTCTACTCTTGACTCATCTGGATTATCTTTGCCTGACTTTCCACTTAGAATTAAGTCTCTGTTGAGTGATATGCGCATCGTTTCTGCTATCATCTCTAAACTGAATCCCCACAAAACATGCGGACTCGATGGTATCCCTGCAATAGACCTTAAGAAACGTGCTCCTGAAGTGGTTCCTGTTTTCTCTAAACTCTTTTTAAACTCATTTCTGCTTCTGGAAATCCTCTTTCAGTTTAAGGACTCAGGCGAAGCGTCTGATCCATCAAACTATCGGCCTATTATCCTTTTACCTCTTTTTGGCAACTTACTGGAGGCGCTAATCAATTCTGAACTGGTTAAGCACCTCACCTCGCATGTCTTCTTTCAAATAAGCAATATGGCTTTCGCTTCTAACGGTCAACTGCTGATGTATTAACGATTATTACTGAAAGAGACTGCAAGAATGGTGAAGCTCGGGTTGTTGCTTCTGATATCTCAAAAGCATTTGACGGGATTTGGCATACTGGTTTTCTTTGCAAGTATAAAGGTTATGTTATTTCTGGACGAAGTATTGAACTGATTCTGTCTTTCTTATCAAATCGCGAAATGAGAGTTGTCTTAAATGGCCATTCTTCTAGTTATTTTTGCCTTAATGCAGGCGTCCACCAAAGCATTATCCTTGGACCTACTTTGTTCTTAATTTTCATCGACATTTCTGATGGCGTCAGTTCTCAACTTGGTATCTATGCTGATAACATAGCTATTTATTCCTGGCTTATTAATTTTAACGCCTCCAAAACAAAACTGATATTTGTTAATCGTTTGAGAGAACCCTTTCTACCATCCATCAGCATAGATAATGCTAACCTCCAGGTGAGTGATTCATTGCACCTTATCCGGCTAACACTTTCTGCTGACATGAAGTGGAAGGATTATATTAAATCTATTGCTAGATCTGCACTTAGGAAAGTTAGTTCACTACGCGAGACAATGTTTATCCCTCGAATCTATCATATATATATATAAGTCTACCATTCGTTCAATCATTGAATATAGCTGCCACATCTGGTCTGGTGGTCCTGCAATATATTTAGAGATCCTTGATAAAATCCAAAGAAGAATCAGCAATGGCATTGATCCTGACCTGGCATCTCAGTTTCAGTCACTTTCCACTGCCCAAACGTAGCTCCCTGTGCCTTTTCCATAAATATTTTCATGGTAATTTTTCTGATGAACTCTCCTATATGGTACCCTAGCCTCTATGAATTTATGAACTCTGTATGAACTCTCCTCTATGGTAACACTAGCCTCTATGAATTTATGAACTCTGTATGAACTCTCCTCTATGGCACCCTAGCCTCTATGAATTTAAACCCAATACTAGATTGGCGACAAGGTCTCATCATTTTGAAGTTGAAATTGTTAGATGTAACCGTAAATTTTAGGCTAACAGCTTCTTTTCTCGCACTTCTTCCTCGTGGAAGTCTCTTCTGGCTTCTTGCTTTCCAGTCAACTTTGATTCAAATGCAATGTCAATTGTTATCTTCTGTCTTCTTAATTCCTCTTCTTTTATTCTTCCCACTCCTTAGTAATGTTTTTCTTTTTCTTATATTCTTTCACACTCAGTAACCCCCCTGCGTCTTTGAAATGATTTTAAAAAGTAGAAAAACGGTTTGCCACTAAGATTATCGACATTCTCTCATTATCAGATGCAGTTGAATCTCTAATTTAGCCCACATGTTTGATATCAGATTCTACGAAAAAGTACTGAAATAAAAGTTTACCTTAATTGAAATAAAAGTTTGAAGTATTTAACTTTCAAGAGGCATTCTAATAAAAATACATTATTTTATTCAGTTTCCCTTTCACTCTTTTATATTCTACAAGAATTTCGTTGGTGTCAAGTCTGTATATCACTTAAATTTGACGTCTATTTCTTTGAGTTGCGAATTCAACCTCTTTACATGACAACAAAGAATACAATGAATTTATTTATTTCACTTATATGAAGGGGTGCTGAAAAGCTCTCGACCCGACCCATTTCCCAAAATTTATATGTTATAGTGAGTGGTAAGAGTGTTTTTATAGTGTGAAGCACGAAGTTGCAGAATCCTTGTGTTGTATTTTTTTTATTTGGTTCATTGACTGAATCAATAGAAAGTGCTGATTTTCATGTGCTGGACTACGATCCGTCGTGATTGTTCTTGTGTTCCTGTAGAAGAAAAAGCAAAGAATATCAGTGAGAATGTCATGCAAACAAATGGCTGAGAACTAGGGGGAGATGTGCTGTGTCAACTTTTAGCTTAGAGATATTCAGATAAAGGATACAGAACGTTTTGCGAGACCTTTAACAGTGTTAACTGCTGAAATTGTTGATTGTACTTATCATCTCATTTGATCCCAATGACGAAATATCCAGAGAACGAGTTAGATTCATGAGCAGTGGCAAATACAGAAGCTGTCAGCCAAGTAAGTACCAAGCTTTTTGAAATCCAACCAGAAATGATATCAATTCAACAAGTTGATTTCGAAGCATTTTGAGCTATTTGGAACGAAATGTAACTAGAATCCGGATAGTAAATGAGAGTCTATACAGTGGCAGCACTGATTTGACATGTCCGAAGAAATTCAAGACCCCAAAGTCAGTAGGAAAAGTTATAGCCACGACTTGCGAGGTGTTAAGGAAGGTATTTTGATGACTACATTCAGAATGGTTAAACAATGCTAAATATTGCTCAATGTGTCGAAGTAATCGTTGAAATAAAAACTGCTAGGGAATATAGAGCAACGTGATCTCTTTTTTACGAGAACAGAGCAACAGCTAGCTAGCAAGACTGAATATTTAGAAAAATTTGGAGTAAGTCTACGCTACTCATCAAATCTTGCTGTCTGAATGTTTCCTGTTTTCAAACCTTAAAAGGAATTCGACAAGGATTTTTTGGAGAATTCTGAGATAATAGCAGCAGCAGAACAAAAGAATTCAATGACCAAATATCAGAATTGTTTTTGAATAGTAACATAAACTTCCTAAACGATATGCCAACTGTGTAAAATA